GTAAAAAATATATATGTAACATAAAGTTTACCATTTTCCCATTTTCTAGCAATTTGTCATGGCATTTCATGGCATTTCATTGTACATGACATGTCATGTCAAGTGCACTTGTTATGCAACCATCCAAGAGGGACCAGGAAGGCTCATTTCCAGGCTCCCGGACCTTGGGGCATCATTCCCGATGGAGTACCTCCTCCTGGTAGGAGGTGCCTTCCCTCACAGTCCATCCCTGCTTCCTTAAGAAGCCCCAAGGAGTAGGACCCCAGGCAGGGCTGAGAATGGGGCCAACCCACATCAGTAGCACAGGCCTGGTGTAACCCAGTGACTTCGAAGCAGATGAACACCCAGCATGCCCCTATTCCTCTGCTGCAGACTATCCCCCTTCACGTCACCATGCCAGCCACACCATCAACCCACAGCTCCTTCTCCCTCTAGGCTAATGGTTCTCAAAGTCTGGGACCTGGACCAGCAGGACTTGGCAGAAATGCCAATCCTTGGCCTTTACCCTGAATCCAGTGAAACAGAGACAAGAGGTGAACCCGATAACGTTGGAACAAGCCCTCTAGGTGACTCTGATCCACACTCTGATCTCATGTGTATGAAGCTGCTCTGGGTGTGCAGAGAAATCCTGTTTGGAAAGAACTCACTACGTCCTCTGCAAAGCTACCATTTTTACTACCGAAAGCTCCATGAATAAGTAAAGCAAGGAAGCTGAGAGATCCAGCAAGATCCTGTGAGTCAGGGATTGCAAATGAGCTGCCTGAGGGTGCTTCTCCGCTTGGATTTGTTTGGCCTGCACATATTTTAAAAAATTTAATTAGTTGCCAGCATTAAAGAAACAGAAAATTTCACATAGAAATTCAGATTTCAATGTTTCTTGAAAAAAAAAAAGTTGGTTTGTCTGGCAGTCTGGCTACAGCATACCCCCATGTGACAGTGGACTGGGGCAAAGCCCAGGCAACCCGGTCTCAACGAGGCCTGGGCTCCCCAGTTAGCCATGGTCCCCACTCCTCCCCAAGGTCAGGAGGAAACCCCACCTGACGAGTTCCCTCATTACTCACTGAACTGATTTTAGCAGGGATTTTGACTTTTCAAACTCTCTGCTTGAATGGAAGCCACAAATTGTAGCCCACTACGACTGTTAATTTTTAAAAAATATTTATTTATTTGGCTGTGCTGTGTCTTCACTGCAGCCTGTGGCGGTCTTTTAGTTGTGGCATGTGGGATCTAGTTCCCCAACCAGGGATTGAACTCAGACCCCTGCACTGGGAGTGCAGAGTCTTAGCCACTGAACCACCAGGGAAGTCCATGTGATGGCTAATTTATGTGTCAACTTGACTAAGCCATGGAGGCTGCAAAGCAAATGAGCAATCTTATAATATTACTAATTAATAAATAATAAAAACCAACAATGATGTTATTAACAATAACAGTATTTGCTGGCTGTTTATTATATACCAGACACCATGCTAAGGGCTTTCTTCTGAGTAAATCTCATTCAATGTTTGGAATAGCCTTATGGGACAGGTACCACCAGCTGTACCACCAGTTCACTTTGACTGATGGAACAGTCCCAGTGAAAAGTACCTCATTCAAGGTCACCTAGCTCAGGAGTGTCAAGAAAAAGATTCGAACCAAGATTCGGATTTCAAAGTTCATGAGCATAACTGCTATACCGTACTGCCATGCCAGAGCATGGGCTTCACCCTGAGTTTCCAAATGAGATTATGCAGTAGAATCTTCTGGGATAAAGAAAACAGAGGCCCTAGATTGTGATTCTGGTGGTCCTTGAATCACAGTTTGCCATGTCCAGCTGCACAGGTCATGCACTGTACAACTATACTCAATGGACCAACCCAAATGGTACTGTAGGCAATGGAGAGGGAGATAATGATGTTTCCCACCTCTCCTAGAGGTAGAGAGGAATGGTGTTGTGTTCACACAGTGAAACACTTCACAGCAACCCAAGGGAATAAATAATACCTGCCAAAATATGGCTGAATCTCAAAATCTTGATATTGTATTGACCCAAAAAAGCCAGACACCAAAGAATCTATCTTAAACAATTTCAATCACAGTGGAAAAACATGGTAGGCATAGAGTTAGCTGAGTGATCAATGTTAATATCACCAGTATTAAGACATATTGATATCATAAACCCTTTGACATGATGATGCACGTCATTTTAATGAGAATTCTTGCCAAAAAAATGCATAACCTCACTCCAGCTATGAGATAACATTGAACAAACCCAAGCTGAAGGACATTCTACAAAATAACTGACCAGTACTCTGAAGGGTCAGGGTCCTTGGAGACCAAGAAAGACCAAGGAATTTTCCCCAGACCCCAGGAGACTAAGAAGAAACAGTCAACGAATGAAATGTGGGACCATGGATAAAATTCTGTCCCAGCAGGGCAGTGCTGGAAGAAAGGTGAAATCTGACCACTGTCTGCAGCTCAGTTACCAAATGTTAGCCTGAATCTACCAATGCTAATTTTCTGTCCTTTACTACCAGGCCGGGTGATGTGAGATGCTAATACAGGAGGCAGAATAAGGAGCACACAGAAACTCTCTGTATTATTTTTTGCAACTTTCCTCTAAGTCTAAAATTAGTTCAAAATTCAAAGCTGAAAACCAAAAGAGTCCAATAATCTAGGCAGTGAACTGTCCGTACCACTGACCCAGCTCCTCTCGCAGGCCACACAGATGGTCTGGAAAAGTCCCTCGGGAATCAGACACAACAGTGCAGCTCTACAGCAAGAGGAAATGTTTGCTCCACTGAGTGCTTTTGCAGAAGTATGGAGATGTAGCCGGCGAGGACAGTCATATTTTTTAAAAATTAATTAGTTATTTTATTATTTTTGGCTGCACTGGGTCTTCGTGGCTGTGACTGGGCTTTCTCTAGTTGCAGCAAGCAGGACTACTCTCCCTGGTTGCAGCGAACAGGCTTCTCATTGCAGTGGCTTCTCTTGTTGTAGAGCACGGACTCTAGAGAGCTTGGGCTTCAGTAGTTGTGTGGCACGGGTTTAGTTGCCCTGAGGCATGTGGAGTGATCCCTGAAGCAGGGATCAAATCTATGTCCTCTGCACTGGCAGGTGGATTCTTAACAACCGGACCACCAGGGAAGTCCCCGTTGTATTTTGTTTTACATTATTAAAAAAATTTTTTTATTGGAGTTTAGTTGATTGACAATGCTATGCTTATTTCAGGGGTACAGCAAAGTGAATCAGTTACATGTATACATACATCCACTCTTTTTCAGACTCTTTCCCCTTGTATGTCATGTTAGAGCATTGAGTAGAGTTCCCTGTGCTACTCAGGAGGTCCTTATTAGTTATCTATTTTATACACAGAGGACAGTTTTAGGCTCTCACATCTTGGCCAGATGACGGCTGCTCTGGAACTGTGGGTATGCCTGGTGTGGGGGACTTTTTGCCATTGCTAGCCTGCTGTGCCATGGGGGTGCAGGCAGTGGGGGTGCTCTGACCCTGACCAGCAAGTTGATATCACTGTGGAGAGGAGACAAGGTGAGAGCGGCCTGCTGGCCCCCCTCTGCCCAGGGACCCAGGCAGAATGTGGCCTGCTCCCTTCCCGTGACTCCACTGACCCTGGGACCACACTATCCCATGTCTGCCCCTTCTGGTTTCCGGGTAGCATTGTGCCCGCGGGTCTCCCTTAATGTGGCTGACCAGATCTGGCTGGGTAGACTGGGTTTCTGCTGTGATTCTAGGCCTCTTAGCCGGGAGGGTGTCTAAACTGGCCCTTCAAGGCAAACACATGGGTCCCTTCTTCCTTTCCACTCCAGAAGGAAGTATTTGAACCTCAGGGAATCCTTTTGAGCCCTGGGGATCCCAGGTTGATAGGCTCCTTCACTGAGAAATGACTCAAAACTTCTCTGTGAATTTTAAAGGACGCCTCCCCTTTTCATCATAATAACACATTTCTCTCTTGATTCTAGAACTTTCTGGTGCTGCTCTTGAACTGTTTGGGATTTGGTCTCTGTCTTAGGTTGCCATGGTGTCCAAACCCAAGGTCACAGTTGCGAGGCCTTGCACCAAGGCCACAGATGTGGAGTCCAGAAACAAGATCAACCTCCAGAATGGACTGAGCCCCTTGTAACCATTACCAAAAGCCCTGGATCATCACCAGCCCACTTCCTGGCCCATCAATCAGTTCAGTTCAGCCACTCAGTTGTGTCCAACTCTTTGCGACCCCATGGACTGCAGCACGTCAGGCTTCCCTGTCCATCACCAACTCCCGGAGCTTGCTCAAACCCATGTCCATTGAGTTGGTGATGCCATCCAACCATCTCATCCTCTGTCGTCCTCCTGGCCCATATTAGGCAAAAATACCCACCCTATTCCTCACTCTAAAGTGCCCTAACCAATCACCTAATGCCATCCTCCCAACAGGAATTTTCTTTGGCTTAACACTATAAAAATTGGCTACTAATCCACTGAAAGCATCAGCTCCCCCTTGAGCTGGCCCACTGTTCTAACCATATCCCCTGCCGGCTCTCCCTGGCCAGTCAGGAGGTGGCCCACTGTGCTCACAGTGCCTACATTATCTCTGCCCTTTGTCCTTAATCAACTAACTCCCTTCTGAAATACCCTGTGTCTAGAAATGCTTTTCTTACCCGCATTCGGACTGCCACAACTGTTGTGTTCTCCGGGAGCAATCCTTGAATCAAATGTCTTGAGGGCAGACCATTTGTTTGGGAGGTGATCCCAGGACAGGGCCGGTAGAGGTGTGGGGAGGGAGACAGAGAGGGGAGGGAGGTGACAAAGAGGGGTGCTGTTGGTCAGCTGACCACAGCGGGCAACTGAGGCCCAGCTGTGCTGGGGCCTCTGGAACAGGTTCACGGAGTTAACCCCACCCACCACTCCGGCCCAAGGGGCGAGGTCTTTCCACTATTTTACACTGTGCCACAACATTTCTACACTTCTGACAATCACACCCGAGTGTGGTTGAAGCAAGCGTAGCCTGTGACTTCGCTTACCACAGCAGGGCTTGGCTGCAGCTCCCAGAGGGGTCAGAGCCCGCGGACTCCGACTGCCGCTCCACGTCCTGAGGGAGGGACAGAGCACATCTGAGGTCGTAATTAGAAGCAAAGGTTCCCCAGGGCCCTGAGGAGAAGTTTGGGGAAGCAGAGCTGGGTCCATCCTGCCATCCAGGGGAGCCCCAGTGTGTCTGGGTGCTGCTGAGAACCTGGGGCATCTGGGAGGATCTGGGGTGTCCAGGGACCGCCTTGGCCCTTGAGCTGTCTGGCGGCTCAGCATCCTTACTGCTTGAAGCCGCCCTTTCTCCTTCCATACTGTGAATATCACCTAGCCATTCTGAATTCAGATTCTTTAAAATATTCTTGTTAAAAAAGAAAATAAAAGCACCACCTCTTTTTTAAATAATTAAATTTATTTATTTTTAATTGGAGAATAATTGCGTCACAGTATTGTGTTGGTTTCTGCTAAGCATCAACATGAACCAGACATAGGCATATATATGTCCTTTCCCTCTTGAACTGCTCTCCCACCTCCCTCCCCATCACCTCTCTAGGTTGTTACAGAGCCCCGTTTGAGTTCCCTGAGTCACACGGCAAATTCCCATTGGCTATCTATTTTGCATACGGTAATGTACTCTCTCTCCATATATCCCACCCTTTCCTTCCTCCCCACTCCCTATGTCCACAAGTCTGTTCTCTATGTCTGTGTCTTTACTGCTGCCCTGCAAAGAGGTTCATCAGTACCATCTTTCTAGATTCCATATATACGTATTAATATATGATATTTGTTTTTCTCTTTCTGACTTACTTCACTCTGTATAGTAGCCTCCAGGTTCACCCACCTCATTAGAACTGACTCAAATGCATCCCTTTTTATGACTGAGTAATATTCCATCGCATATATGTACCACAGCTTTTTTATCCATTCATCTGTTGATGGGCATCTAGGTTGCTTCCGAATCCTAGCTATTGTAAATAGTGCAGCAATGAACATTGGGGTACATTTGTCTTTTTCAATTTTGGTTTCCTCAGGGTACATGCCTAGGAGTGGGATTGCTGGGTCCTTTGGTGGTTTTATTCCTAGTCTTTGAAGGAATCTCCATGCTGTCTTCCATAGTGGGTATATAAAAGCACCATCTCTTTATTGGTTGTTTTTTTTTAAGGGCAGTCAACCAGTAAGCAAAAGCTTCTTTTGGCTTTGGGACGTGAGGCTTGCAGGGGTCACCAGACCTCACCTATCCAGGGGTCTGCTTGCTCATCCCTTAAATATGCCAGACCCAAGATGGCACCTTAGTAGATTCTTGTTTTCAAACAGAGAAGGAGTTATTGCAGAAATGAGAGGCCAAGAGGCCACCCTAATCCATTGCTGTCTAGGCAGTCCTCTGGGGTCCCGCTGAGCCTCCAGGACAGCTCTGTATGATGGAACCTTCTGGGATGGTGGCAGGGTGGTGTCTGCCCCATCCACAACGGCAGCCACGTGTGGCTACTGAGCATCTGACATGTGGTCAGTGCAACTGAGGAACTGAATTTTTAAATTTCACTTAAATTGAATTAATTTACATTTAAATGGGCCACATGTGGTTACTAAATTGGACTGGGAAGATCTTGAGCAAAGAGAATCCTAAGCTAGTTTCCCTGGCTGGGACTGAGTTTGGGGTCTGGAGAGAGTCAAACGTGTGCACTCAGGTGCAGGACTGGAACCCGGAAAGAAAGCGTCTGCTTCCCAGCTCACATCTTCTGGAAGAGCCCATCCAAATTGAAGAAATTAATATGTTCTGCCCTTTGCCTGGGATACTGAACTTGACCTCAGCCATCAGAGCAAATGGGAAAAACTGGCATCTCAGAGGCCAAGTGGGTCAGGTGTGCTTGTGCGTGCTGTCTCCCTTGTTCTCCGTGTCGCCCGGCTGGGGAGCTGGGGTCATACTATGTACTCTCACTGTCCTGGAGGGGAAAGCTGAGACTCCAGGAGCCCCACTGCTCAGCCTGAGATTCACAGTGAACACATGGCCACATCAGGGTTTGAATGCTCGTGATCCCTGCACACTTAGGGTTTTCCCTGGAAGGAGGTGTTTTGCTCTGAACTGTCTCCCACATTCTTTCTCGGAGCTCATGACTGACACTCACCGGAAAGGGTCCAGCGGATGCCCCAGTGCAGAAAGAACTCTGCTCCCTCGGGCCTCGTGGTGGTAAGACTCCTGACCGCTGGCAGCATCTCGGCCCTGACCTACCCCCGCCCCCAACCCATGAGCCTCCTGTTAAAAATAACAAAGAATAACAAGAAACAGAGCTCCGCAGTCATGGGGACAGCACGTGTTTTCCATTTTCTTCATTCTCTTCCCCGATTCTCTAGATGTGGATTAAATTATAACAAAGAACTTCCTCTTCTCAATGCTCTGGAATAACCTAGATGGGAAAAGGATCTCAGAAAGAGTGGATATGTGTATTTGTATAACTGACTCACTTCTCTCTACACCTGAAACTAACACAACTCTGTAGATCAGCTATACTCTAATAAAAATGGAAAAAAAAAAAAAAGATTGACTGTAAGGCTGGGAGACACCAGGAAGGGTTGTCTGAAGGAATTTATCTCCAGAGAATTTTTGTAAAACCATTCTTTATTTAAAAAAACCCCAGTCCCACATGCTGAAGCTGAAGTTCCAATACTTTGGCCACTTGATGTGAAGAGCTGACTCATTTGAAAAGACCCTGATGCTGGGAAAGATTGAAGACAGGAGGAGAAGAGGACGGCAGAGGATGAGATGGTTGGATCGCATCACCGACTCAATGGACATGAGTTTGAGCAAACTCCAGGATATAGTGAAGGACATGGAAGCCTGGCATGCTGCAGTCCATGGGGTCATAAAGAGTCGGACTCAGCTGAGCAACTGAACAACAACACCAAGTCCCCAAAACTTATGATTATAAAATTCACACATGTTCCTTACAGAAAATTTGGAAAACAGACAAATACAATGAAATGATATGTATGGTCACTCTCCTCTAAAAGTCTTCACTAACCATTTGTCATATTTCTTTCCAGCTCTTTCTCTCCTTGAATGATTTGTTTTGTTTGTTGTAGCTGTGACTGCAGATTTTAGGGAGAATTAGAGATTGTGGTTGGGTAAAGATTAGGAGGATTTGGATCCCATGTGAAATCAAAGGAATACCATAAATCACTGCTTTTCAAAACTCTGGGACGGAGGCCCAGTTGTTAAACATTCTGACCCATCACCCACCTTCAACCATATGTGGTCCTCCATCTCAGGACGGAAGCAGCTCAAGTCACAAGGGGCTTACCAGCTCATTCACCATCACCCCATCAGCCAAGTGGAACCTCCACACCCATGCCTGGAGGCTGTAGCAAAACTCTCAACATCTGCTCTTGATTCCTCACAGTAGCTCTGGTCTAGAGCCGGGATCTGTGAACTAGACCCTCGGGCCAAGTCCTGTCCCCGCTGCACTTGAGCTCAGGGTGATTTTGACTTTTTAAGTGGTTGGGGAAAATTTTTTTTTTTTAATTTCATGACATCTAAAAATTCTGTGGTTTCAGGGGCCATAAATAAAGTTTCACAGAAACACAGCTTGTGCCCTCCATTTCTGCATCATCTATGGCTGCTTTGGTGCGACCACCCTGCAGAACTGAGTAGTTAAATCAAAGACCCACTGGCCTGCAGGACCTAAAATATTCACGACTTGGCTTTTTACAGAAGAAGTTTGGTGATCCTTGCTCTAGATCACTGATTCCTGAGTTTGCTCCCTCTCAGAATGTCTGGGGATTTTTTTTTTTTAAGTCCACAGCTTGCCAGGCTGCCCCCTACTCTTTGGACTTGGGATCCCTGGGGAGGGGCAGGGCCCTGAGACTCTGCTTTTCAAATATGCCCGAACCCCACCCCAGCCCCCAGAGGGTTCTGATGATTCAGGGATCTGGACATCAGGCCAAGTGTGCCCGGGAGACGTGCTTGTCGAGCTCCCAGGCTGAGTAGCCAGGATGTCCCGGAGCTTGACTCAGAGTCTTCTTTAACGTAAAAACCTCTCCTGTCTTGAACTGTCTGCTACATGGGCTCTGCAACCGCACTCCTGGTAGATCCAGCCCTTCCCAGGACACAGCTCAATTCATGGGTCCTGGTGGGGCCCTGGCCCAGAGCCCCTGCTGCCACAGTGCAGCCTCTGCTCTGAGACCCTTGGACGCCCCTATGTTCCCTTGGGCTCTCATGGCCGCGGGCGGCTAGAATTCTTGGCCTGCCTTGGGGGTGGCAGGAGAGGAATGCCAGGGCTCAGGGTCTTGTGTGCTGGGCACCCTCTCTGGACCGCCCCCCTGCCTCACTCTCTGGTTTATGTTTCTGGCACCAGAACTGGAGGCCTGAGCCAACTGCACACATGGCCGGAGTCAGTTCTACGGGGCAGCTGAGAGGCAAGAGCTGGGAGGGAGATGACCGTGAAACAGGCTTGTTTCCTGCTGGTCTCTCTCCATGAGGGTCCTCATCAACATCTTTATACAGTTGTTCCTTGATGTGAGAGCATCCCTCGTGGCTTAGTGGTAAAGAATCTGCCTACAATACAGGAGATGTCGGTTCGATCCCTGGGTCAGGAATATCCCCTGGAGAAGGGACTTGAAACCCACTCCAGTATTCTGGCCTGGGACAGAGGAGCCTGGCAGGCCACAGTCTAGTCTGTAGGGTTGCAAAGAGTCCAGCATGTCTTAGCAACTAAACCACCACCATCACCACCCTGCTTGATATCTAAGGAAGATTGGTTATAGGACCCCCGCGGATATCTAAATCCATGGATGCTCAAGTGCCTTATATAAGATGGCACAGGACAGACAGCCTCCACACCCGTGGGTTCCAGATCTGTAAACTTGGATTCCGCTGTTGGGTGAACCACCGCTGCAGAACCCAGGGATGCAGAGACCCAGCTGTATTTGCAGCTCCTTTCTGGTTCCCTGATAGCTCAATTGGTAAAGAATCTGCCTGCAATGTGGGAGACCCCAGTTCAATTCCTGGGTTGGGAAGATCCCCTGGAGAAGGGATAGGCTACCCACTCCAGTATTCTTGGGTTTCCTTTGTGGCTCAGCTGGTAAAGAATCTGCCTGCGTTGTGAAAGACCTGGGTTTGATCCCTGGTTTGGGAAGATCCCTTGGAGAAGGGAAAGGCTACCCACTCCAGTATTCTGGCCTGGAGAATTCCATGGACTGTATAATTCATGGGATCGCAAAGAGTCGGACACAACTGAGCAACTTTCACTTTCACTTTTCTGGTAATAATCTCAGCTCTGCCCTCTCACCCTCTCCTTTTCACCTCTTCCCCTCTCTCTATGTCTTTCCCTCTTTCCCCTAACTCTGCATTTTCTCACTCTCTGGTTCTTCTTCTCCTGCTTTAGTTTTTTTGGCCAGACCCACTGCTTCCAGGCAGAGCTGAGCCACCACCTCGGAGGGCTGGCCCCTCCTCCAGAACCAGATCGTGCGGAGCGTTCCTTTGGGGGCAGTGGCTCAGGCCTTTGGGCTGGACCTGTTCACAGAGTTTATTATGGGGAAATGTATTCAGGCCCTGCCCTCAGAAAGCTCACAGTTTTGGGCAAGCAGGACAGACACAGCAATTTTAACAGTGCCTTAAAAGGTGATCTTGGCTTCCCAAGAGGCTCAGTGGTAAAGAATCTACCTGCCAATGAAGGAGATGTGGGTTCACTCTCTGGGTTGGGAAGATCCCCTGGAGAAAGGAATGGCAACCCACTCCAGTATTCTTGCCTGGAAAATCCCATGAACAGAGGAGCCTGGCAGGCTACAGTCCATGGGTTCGCAAAGAGTTGGACAAGACTTGGTGACTAAACAGCAGCAGCAGTAACGGAAGTCTAAAAAATAGTGACTTAAATCCCCAAGCACTTGTTCTTTTACTAAATAAGAAGTTTAGAAGTAGACAGCCCAGGGCAGAACCCAAGCTTGTTGCATATTTCTGCTCCCTTGTCTGTAGTAAGTAACTTCTACCTTCAGAGTATCCTCATGATCTAATATGGCTGCTGGAGCTCCAGCCATTGTATGAACTGCAGGATGGAAGAAGGAGAAAAGGCAAAAAAGGCATTTCTCTCAGTTGAGACAGATGCCTTTGAAGGAGGCTTCCTGGAAGTCCCAGCAACACCCAGGCTTAAGTCTAATGTAGTTATGTGTTCACATCTAGCTACAAGAGAGACAGGGGAATGTGAGTTTGGCTGGGTACATTCCTTCCTAAATACAATGATGATTTTGTTGTTGATCCAGAAAGGGAGAACAGATATTGAATGGCAACCAGCACTTTGCATCACACCCTCGAGATGTTTTTTATGTTTGTTTTTTCCAAAACAGAGAAGCAGCGTAGCATAGCAGAAAAAAGCCCTGGCTTGGACTCAAGGCCAATCACTCTACCAATCCCAGCTGTGCCATCTGGGCAAAGTCACATGCCCTCTCTGAGCCTTTGGCTCCGTCCTCTGCATAAGGGACTGCTGATGGCATTTCCCTTCCAGAAGGATCAGGAGGGACCCAGTGGAAATCTATGAATTATGAGCTGTGCTATCCTGTGCTTAGTCACTCAGTCCTGTCTGACTCTTTGCCATGGACTTAAGCCCACAGGCTCCTCTGTCCATGGGATTCTTCAGGCAAGAATACTGAAGGGTTGCCTTGCACTCCTCCAGGGGATCTTCCCGACCCAGGAACTGAACTGGGGTCTCCTGCATTACAGGCATATTCTTTACCAGCTGAACTACCAGGGAAGCCTCTATGAATTATAGCACACTATATAAAAATTAATAATATTTCATAGTAAAATTGAAAACAGGCTGAATACTTCTTTGGACCAGAAGGGAACAACTGGTGGTTAACTTCTCCCTGGACAGAAGTGGCGCCCCTCTGTTGTCTTTGCTGCCCCCGTCCCAGCAGGCTGTGGGTGAGACTCAAAGTGTGGACAGGGTTGGGGCCCTGCAGGTACAGACAGTGTCCTCATGCCCTGGGCACAGTGGGTATCTTAGGAGAATGTCTACCTGTGGATGACATGGTTCCCGGTGGTTCCAGCTGATCATCTCTGTATGGCGGACGATAACCCCAAACCTATTGGCTTCAAATGGCAATTCATTCCTTCTCCAGTATCTGTAGATGGACTAGGCTCAGCAGGGCACATTCACTTTCATGTTGTCCTTCTTGGGGTTTCAGTCAATGTCAACAGGGACTGCAGGCATCTGAAGGTTTGA